TAAATTTGGCTGCACCGACCGCTGTGGCAACGGGCCAGACTGCAAACTATTGAACTACGGCATGGCCTGGTCTAGCAGGGCTCGGCTGTGAACGGGATCAAAAATCCTACTGAATCGGAGTCAGAAATTGTTATGGCGAAGAATTAAAGAAGAGGGGATGATAAGCGAACAGGATTATGGGACTAAAAACATGTGGTACGAAACCGTACGCCATCACGTTGTACATTCATGTAAAAAGAAATCATACAGGGAAGAATCTGCCCGTGTTCCGTGGCCGTGTTTCGTCCTTGTATAAAAATCAAACCAGTACGCTCTGAATCTCATGGTCAGCGCTTATTATTGGACCAAATCAATATTCTTATGATGCTTATAATTAAAAACAAAGTGTTTTTACTTCACTATGTTTCAAAAGGGTACAGATTTATAAAGGAATGTTTTGGATGAAACTAAATTTTGGTCCGTCATCCAGGAATATACCAATAATCACAAATCTGGCTGAAAAAAGTTCAGTGGTGAAAGTGAGCACGCATGCTAAAACGGAGGTGATGGTCAGTTTCGAACAAGTACCGGATGAAGACAGTCTTGTAGAAGCAGCAGCGCTTCCCCCATATTTCATACAATCGGTTAAAGCATGGCAAAAATTTCTAGATATGTTTTGCAGCAACGAAAAGAGAAGGGGCGAAGCCTGTTGAATCTAAGCGATTTGGATCGGCTTCGGAATCCGGCCTATTTCCGCTGCGAACGGGAGAATCGTGGCGGTATGGGCCATAATCGACTGGATCGCTTTACTCCAACAATGGTCACCACTCCTCCGGCACCGTGCTGTTTTTCAAACGTGAATTGGCGATCGAGAAGTGAAACATCGCTTTACTGTGAAAGACTTTGAAAGATGAGGATCAGCTTTGACTTCTTTCCAGACTGTGTTGTATGAAACCTGAATGTATAATATGCCAGCTGTAGGAAAATCGGACTCGATCCACATCCTGCTCTGTAGCTAGCAATCAATCTCTAGGAGAAGTGTCATAATCCAAATCAGTGAACTGAATAAGCTCGAGATGCATTCCGGGGTACAATCAGGATCAGATCCTCCCAAAATCATTGGCGACGCGCACTGGGCGGGCCCGTGCGATCATACATTTTTGCAATATTTCGTACTGTAATGAGATCGCTCAGAAACCCAGTAGCTAGAAATGTGTAATATACTGGTCCTCGAAGTCTGGGAAGATAATTGTCTACGCGATATTTGGACAGGGGACATTTCGGCGACATTTCAGCTTTCTAAATTTTGTTCTTGAGTTAGCAATTTACCTGCCAAAAATATTCACGAGGCCGTACGCGACAACTACGTATCCTCGGGGGCTGAATTTGGTAAATTTAAGCTGTACATGGGTTGGGAACATTTCCTGAA